TTTTATTACAAAGGGTATTACATATGTGTCCATTTTTTCCCCCCACCCAAGACAGTCCCCTAGCCTCCCTTATACCAGTGCTTGGTTTTAATTAAACTTGAACTAGTTGGGCCAAAAGCTATATTCTTTATTCCTCAGACACATATCCTTTCAAAGCGCCAAGTAAAGGAAAAACTATGTATTTAGTAACATACTTAAGATAGTACATCTAATAGATTTTTATTTTTACTTGAAACTGGAGGAACTTAAAAATCTAACTTATTACCAAAGATCAACAACAGGTGTGGGAAGAGATAAAGGAGGTTAATGGTTTTCAACAAGCCTGCAGTGATCTATTTAAAAGAGTTAATGCCCAACTATTTTTTAAATATATTTTAATGATTTTTTACAGAGAGGAAGGGAGAGGGATAGAGAGTTAGAAACATTGATGAGAGAGAAACATTGATCAGCTGCCTCTTGCACACCCCCTACTGGAGATGTGCCCCTAACCAAGGTACATGCCCTTGACCAGAATCGAACCTGGGACCCTTGCTTCCGCAGGCCGACGCTCTATCCACTGAGCCAAACCAGTCAGGGCCCAACTATTTTTTTTTTAAATTAAAATCAACTATGAGTAAAGTTCACATCTTAACTCTACCAAGACATTCTTTCTACCTTTCTGAGTCTCAATTTCTTTATCAATAAATCTGGGATCACATCTCCCTGGTTCATGTTGTCTAGCACCTATCAGGCACTTAGCAGGCACACAATAGCTTCTCAATACTTGTGAGCCACTGTTGTTATGCAGAAGAGCTTGTGAAACAATTGTTAGCAACTCAATCCAGGAGTGAGCGTTTCTTAATGTTTCTTTTATCTGCCTCAAATTTATTTTGCTGGAATCTAAGCTGTTCCCTCATTTTTGCAAAGTTGGCGATAACATCTGTTTAATACTTTTTGTATAAGGAGGCCAGATTGCGGGCATGTGTTTATGCCACCATTAACATAACCATTCCTCAACAGAGGTGTTTTCTGGCATTTCAATGACCTAATTGTAATCTGTAATCTGGCTGATTACTGGCTAGACAGACTGTTTTAGTAACAAGAGGAAATGAGAATAACACACATACACACATATATACATATACATACACTCATAAATACATACATACAGAATCATATATATATATATATATATATATGTCCATTTTTAAATGACTATATATATATATATATACACACACACACACATACACACACACACACACAGAGGTATAATCGGTTCTTCAATACATATAAAAGTCAAGGTCCAGCTGCAGATTTCTTTTTGTTTTATGCTTTTTTTGGTAAGGAGCGTGCAGGGAATGTGAAGAATAAATGTTTCCTTCTTTTGGGTTCCTTAAGCAACTGACTTTGAAATGAACTATGGCGAACTCAATGAGTCTAGATTAACCTTGGCTTAATGACCAACAGTTTAGCAGGGTTTGTATTTATTTATTTATTTAGAAGAATTTATAAATCGATAGGGCTAGTCCTTGAATCTTTTCCCCCCTTTGAAAGACCCACGCTAAATGTGGTCCGAACACCACATCTACACAGGCAGTGCTTTCCCTGACAACATCCTCCTTATTTTTCACTGTGGCCAATTTCCCAAGCAAATCCAGTGTCTGAAGTCAATTGAAGATGAACTGATTCAACTTCTGACAGAGGCTTTCTCTGTCTACTCTTACCCACATTCCACACCCACACCTTCAGTGCCAGGTCAAGGCCTCCACGGGTCCGATGGAAGCTTAGAAAGAAGCGATTTCCTCTTTCAAGCCCTCGCCTGAATATCCAGTAGAAACTTGTGGAATAAAACCAGGCTAAGCTGTTGTTCTCAAACATGTTTATTTGTAAGTTTTACATGGTGTGTTACAGAAATTAATGGAAAATTTCTAAAAATCTCGCTGTTCTGTTGAATGCATTGTACATAAAGTTAAAAATAATGTGTCCATATATGTTAACAAACTGTCATCTGAGGTAAAGTTAAAGTAGGTCTAGAAATGTACGGCAACAGTCATTTCTCTTTCTCATCTTTATTAAAAAAATAGGTGTCAGAACGCAGAAATTGAAATGAACCAAACCCACAGAGTAAACATTTTTTTTTTTTTAAAGAAGGTGCCCGGTACATGACATGATGGGGTTTCAGCAGACACTGGGATGAGTACGAATCGTCACAAAAGTCTTGCGGCATGTAAAGATTGAAGAGCTATGGGGAGTGGAAACAGAATGACAGGTGGCGTTTCCCTGGTTTCAAAATTTAAAGTGACAAATTTAGTGCTAGTGGAGGATGATAAATTAACAGCTGGACACATGGATTTTTCTATCAATCTAACTGGAACTGTGCAGACTCCCCATGACCCTTTGGTATTGGCACCTCAGCTCTTATTTGGAAATTCCACTGTACTCCTGGAATAGGATACAGTGGTTCTGAGCTCACCAAACAGTGCTTGTTAAACATCAGAATTCTGCCAATGATAACACGGATGGCAGTCTAACAACTTGACTTTATTTCCCTCACTGGGATGCATCACATGGACCAGATACTTTAAGCTCAGAGCCAGTTACATTTTCAATCACATTCAATGAATGGTGAGTTCACTGGGCTCTCACCTTCTGCTATGACATTGGCTCTGGAACAGTTTTTAACTGATACAGCGACCTCCGCCAAGGTTCACTTCAAATGTGTTAGAAGCAACCCAAAGAATCTGTACAGTGGGGTAATATTGCCAGACACACTCAAGACAGCCATATCGAGGGAGAAGATAGCACCACTTGTTTAGAATCTGAATTACGGACAACATAGCAATGTAAGCCATTTCCTCATGGGAACTGCTCATCTTATTAAATCCCCAGAAAACACCATCAAACTGATTTCAGGACATCTCTTATGGTTCTCACGCCTTTCCCATTTCCTCCTTCATGTGAAAAGATGACTTCATTGTCAAATGCATGCACTTTTCTGGAGGAATCATGTGGACTAACAGTGATAGTTATGGAGGGAGGGAAATGGCCCTTCTCACTTTTCTGGTTCTTCAGACCTTCCGCCTTAGGATGACATTTACGTGGATTCTGTAATGGACATTTGGTCAGTTTACCTAACTGGAAAAAGTTGGATTCCAGTGACCTGATAATGTCAAATTTGGGCTTCCAACAGTAACCACCACATGGACTTATCAATTTTTTTTTTTTGTGTGAGCAAGTTTACCTTCTTCCAAAGCATTTCAGTTTCTATTGATATGAGGAACCAAAGTACGCAGGCCTATTTAAGTTAATCATATCAATATAAATTCTAATTTTTGAATTTTAAAACCAAATAATAGTAATTACCCTCAAATCCAATTAATCACATGATTCTTTAAAGTTTTCTTCTTAGTGTTAAACCACTAAATTCAACATACTGTAACTGCATAGGAACATTGGAAAACACACTTGACCTGTAGAACAATTCTCTGTAGGGCAAAAATATATAGATTCTTTATGAAAATCATGTGCTAAACATACGAACCAAACACTACACTTTTCTGTCTCATACATGTAAAAAAAGGAAGCTTAAACTCTTCTGTTTCATGTACAAATAGTCCAGTGATTTCCGTGGGAGAAGGTGGGAGTGGAGAGGCAGGAGGGAGGGTTAGAATCTGAAGGACAGACCTTCAAAATGTGAGTTGCCTTGTTCTTGTTTTACACGGAGGGCAGGCACTCTTGTGGAAATGCTAGATGAGATGATGGAGTCACATGCTCCCTTCCTGTTCACTAGCTGCTGATTGGCCAGCTGCTGCTGCCAGCTGTCCCTGAACTCCAGCCTCCTCCCATATGCTCCAGAGTAACATCTGGAAAGCCAGCCCCATCCATCACGCTTGTCACATCTTGCACTCAATCTGCTACCTTCTCTACAGTGTAATGGCATTGTTAAAAAGCATTTTCATTAACATTTATATTTACAAAAAGAAAAACACCTGGCAATTTTTTTTTCATTAGAACTCCTTAAAGCCATTTCCCTTAAATATTTAAAGAGTTTAATGGTAAGGTTTTTTTTTTTAAGTTATAAAATAAAAATCCCATTTGAATTTTCTGATGTACAAAAAGAGATAGAGATGAACCATTATGATCACAGAATCAGTTTGTTATTCTGAATACTCACGCCACCATTGTTCCATGAGAAAGTCAGTTTTTAATATCCAGGGCCACATTACCAGGATTATACCAGAATTATTTGGCAAATGACTTTTCTTTGAAAATGGCACGTGGAGAAGACACTTGTCTGCATAGCATCACAGCAGCAAGAGATCGGAAAAATAAAAAATATTGTTTCATTGTACTTAGAATTTCGAGCTTCTTAGGAAATCAGATGCATTTTTCATCTTTCTCATCAATGGGACTTGATGTCCTTTCCTACTCACAGAATGAGGGTTCAAACAGAAAGCTGTCTTTCTTCACCAGGATGCAGAGATAGCTAAAAGGTTGTTTTGGCAACATTCTTGATCATAAAGAATTATCAACCACTTATTTGTCTTGCGATTTCAAGTTAATTCATTCATATGAGACTTTTTTCCCCCACTTAGGTTTCTTCATCAATGTCTTAAAAAAGTCAAAAGCAATACAAAATTTGTACACCCATTAATTTTCAAACATGAGAAAGGAAGGAAAGGGAGAAAATGGCAGGCCAGGCCCTGTGCAGTGATAAAGTAACATCATCACATGTCAAAAGGCATATGGATGATGAGAGTGTGGTCACAGAGGACCTCTTCCTTTGCCTAAAAGAAGTCAGTGCCAACTTTGCTGTAAGACTCTGAGGCCTGTCACTCCAAGTTTGACATCTCTACAGCGGGTAACATGTAGAGAAATAAAAAGAGAATTATGATTTTGCATACTTGGGGAGGGGGGGTCATTCTCAATCCACATTAAGAGAGCTCAGAATGTTTGCTGGGTAAGCATTTGCTTGATTTGTGATTTAACGTTGGGTATAATTTTCTTATACTTTTGTGTGTCCTTGTTTTGTTGTGCTGCCATAGGTATCTGCTGTTGGTTGCCAACAACTCTTAGTTCCTTCCTCCAAACAAGTTCCATTGGGCAATTATGAATTTCTTTGTGGGATGAAGTGAGGTGAAAGAATATAAGAGCCTGTCGCGATGCTGATTTCCATGCTAGTCTTGAAGAAGCACCCGCCACGAGCCCGCATTGATGCTATTTCTTAGGTCTGTGGATCTGCGCATAGAGAGGCTCCAGCTCCTAGGGACAGAGGGACAAAGTGAGACATTCTTTTCCAGATAGGAATTTCTGAGACAACTTGGGAAGGAGAGTTTGGGATTAGAACAGAAAGGTGACAATGTATGATGGATGACCTTAGGTGATTTTTTGAGTATTTGATCATGGTGCATATCATTTTGGCAACTTATTTTAATCATCAGGAAGAACTACTCACCCTGTTTTGTCCTTGGTTTTTAAGTGAGACTGATTTCTCTGTTAGGAAAATAGCATGATATAGTAGAGAGAGCTGAACACGCTGTGTGATATGGACAAGTAACTTATCCTGTCTGAGACTCAACCATGAAATGGGAATGATACTGTTCATCCTGTAGGGCTTTTGAAGGATTAGAGGTATAACATCTAAGTACAGTGTTTGGGCATAACAAGTCTTCAGAAAATAGTAACTATTATAATGACGCAAGTGGAGATTTTTTTCAACACAGTTTTATGAGTGTCCATTTGATACGGTTGAAATTCTATTTCGACCTGCCCTTTGGTTTCTTTAAGCAGTGATGACTGGGCACACTTCACAGCAAGGGAAACAGCAATTGTGCCTTTAGATCTTAGTTAAAAACTTCTGGGACTTGTTTCCATTCCATCTGCTGTTTCAGATTGGGTCAGACCTTTGCCTGCGCACATTGGAGTTGTCCTGAGACATACATATACAAGGCGTTCTGTATAGAACATAGCAACTTCCCATCCAAATGTAGGTGGTAAATGGTGTTTGGCCTTGTTGAAAGCACTTCAGGACTTCATGTCAAAGGCCTGGGATGCACTAGCCAAGCAAGACTAGATCAATGCTCTGGTCTTAAGCATACCGTAGATAGGCCCTTCCATTAAAACTGACCTTTATGCTGCCACTATTGGATGTTTGTTCCAGAATTAAATAAACATAGCTGCACCTTAATTATGCCATATATTATACATTAGCCTGTATCCTGCCGCTCAGGCAATAGTGGACCCTTTGTATTTGCTTATTTTCTTGAACTATCACATTGAAATGTCATACACAGCCCCTCCTGTGTGTCTAGCACAGTAGGCATTTTAGAGTACACTGACTTTTTAATTTAACACAATAGCCATGTAAGGTAGATGTTTGATCTCTTTTGCAAATAAGAAATCAAGCACAGAAAAGTTAAGTCATTTGCGCATAGTTACACAGCTAGTGAGTTTGGGGGATGAGACTTAAAAGTAGGTCCAGTACTTTCCCTAGTCTATTACAACAGCTGATAAAAAAAGGGTCCAACTCTTCAAGCTGTAGTGTATAGAGTGCTTTGGAGTTTCTCAAGTTCCCTCATGTCTTATTTTATCTGCCTAAGAGTTCTAAGAATAGCTTTTTTTCTTTCCATCCTCATTCTGCAGATAAAAACGGAAGGTCAGGGAGGTATGTGATCTCAGGGTCATTGTGATGCCTCTCCTGTGTCTCATATATCACATTGTTCATCTTGATTGTAAAGTTGAAATGGACTAAAAGATAATTTTGTCCAGATCCATCATTTTACAGATGAGGAATCTGAAGCCCAGAGAGGAGAGGTTTTGTTTCACCAAAGTCACAGGGTTACTTAGTAACCATGCTGAGAACAGGATCCAGGCTATTTTCTTATACACTTATACTAGAGGCCTGGTGCACGAAATTCGTGCACTCGGGGGTGGGGGTTCCCTCAGCCCTGATTGCACCCTCTCGCAGTCCAGGAGCCCACGGGGAGCAGGCCTAAGCCATCAGTCGGATATCCTTAGTGCTGCCGCGGAGGCAGGAGAGGCTCCCGCCACTGCCACTGCGCTAGCCAGCGTGAGCCCAGCTTCTGGCTGAGCAGCACTCCCCCTGTGGGAGCGCACTGACCACCAGGGGGCAGCTCCTGCATTGAACGTCTGCCCCCTGGTGGTCAGTGTGTGTCATAGCAACCACTTGTTCTGCTGTACAGTTGATTTGCATATTAGCCTTTTATTATATAGGATTATATTTATCTTCTTCCAGGGAGAAGGCCCCTCCTAGCCTTCCAGGCACCCTATTTCATAATGTACAAGAGAACCAATTTGTCCCCCAATGCTTTACATTCATGGGACTTTATTTTGTCCTTTAAACATAACAAAAACATGTAATTCTTCTTCCAAGTATCCAATGACAAAGTATGGAGGCCCATTCTTCCACACCCTGCTTCTGGTTACCACTCACTGGTTCCTTCTGCCATTTTACATGTGAATTTAGCACAGTATGTGTGCAATAAAAGTTTGTTGAATTAATGAATTACGATACAATATCAACGTTCTTTACTAAAAATACTCTAATTGGGCTTTAATTCTCTCAAAATCTAATATAGCAAGATCTAGAGCAAGATGATTTATTAAGCACCTAATCTATTCTCTGTCAACATCTTGAAATGTTTCCAATACCTGTTGTAAGGCTAAACTTGTTCGTTTCCTGTGAGTTTGTAATCCTGGGGGGAGGGGGAGGGGAGAAAGGGGGGATGGGGTGAACCAAGGTGGAGCTGTCAAGTACAAATCCCGGGAAAAGCCATTTTTGGGCCTACACCAGGCTATCAGGATGCCTCTTGACCTTCTCTGAGTAGACTTCCTCAGCCCACCCTTCTTTTTGGATGCCCTCAGAATTCAGGCTGCTTTGATCTCACCCTACAATGTGCTCTGTTCTAAGTTTGGAACTAATTTATTCAACAGAGAATGACACCCTAAAACAGAAGAAGACAGCAGGCTCAGATGGGGTAATTAATGCCACACTGCATTAACTTCCTGCAGCTGAGATAAATATTCACACGTCCCCTGCTTGCTGGAATTTAGCTTCAAATACCCATCACAACAGCGGTAACGAGTGCAGTCAACTCTCAATTATCCCCACTAATGAAGGGGAGCAGTGGCGTGGAAACCCCAAGCCGCAGATCGTCCCAAAGTCTGACACTGTGATGCATTATCCGTTTGGGCAGCAGCTTTGCCTTCCTTGTTACTGAATCTTAGACTGTCAGAGCTGGGGGAGCTTGGAAATCACCTGACCCAGAAATTTCCAACCTGACTTCCCACAAGGTCACGATAGGGTGTTGAGGCTGTTTTCAACATTCCAAAATGTCTAAATGGAATCACACGTTAGCACAGCATGCTGATGTCTTTAGTTTTCACTGGGCAGATTTGACCACATCTTCAAATCCTTCAAAGCCTCCCCATTAGCCGCAGGGCAAGGCCAAAGCTCCTTTGCTGGGCACATGAGACCCATTAGTCCCCTAGTCCATTAGAGCTAATAAATGCACCTTCCAGACCACGAGTCAAACTCAACCATCAGGTCACATATAGCAGGCTTTAAAAAAATGTTTCATTTTTTAACACCTCTGACACAATGTTCTTTCTGAAATGGATTTGGTCATGCCAGTCTCCTGCTTGAAATGACCCTCCTGACTCCTTATTACCCCAAGGATAATGCAAAGGCCTCAGGATGGCACAGGAGGCCTTTCCAATAATATGGCTTCACTCTCTCCTATGCCCCCTTCCATCTGGTACTTCTGGTCTACCTGACAAGGCAGGCCTTTCCCACCTCTGAGACTGCTCAGGCAGTGCCTCCTGCCTTTGGGCCTCTCTTTGTCCTGCACCTGATATTCCCTTCTTTCAGAATCATTTCAAATATAATGGCTTCCTAGACTCTCTAGTGCTCTGTGTAGACCTCTGTCTACAGTGCTCCACGTAGCTCCTAAACCCTCTACACAGTGAGCTCCACTGCACCCTTCACATCAGTATCCCAGATGCTGAGTAAGAGCTTGGAACATGCACAGCACATCTGCTAACAACATGGAGATTGAGGATGTGAGTGAATGAATGAGCAGTTCTTCTTTTATCAGGAGCTGGTGAATCCTTATGAACTTTAAGCTCAACTGGGCCTGGCATCTTAATATCTTCATTTCCAGAGGACAATAAAGTAGATGGAAAACCAGACAATACAAATAAAGCCCAAACCAACTAACCAATCTTTGACTTAAGTTGACTCTCCTGTTTGCTGGGAGGTGCAGTGAAGGGATGAAAGCATGCAGATTTGAAATCAGGCAGATCTAGTTAGTATCCCCACTGCCAATTCCCTGCAGCCTGAGGCCCCTGGGGACACACTTGCAGTGGAACCTGCTAGGCTGATTACTCACTGCAGCAAGGGAGCCACGGTGTCTGTGTAAGAGGACCTTAGGAAGGGCTTATTACAGGCTTGGGCTTATGTTAGATGATTTGGGGGAGAGCCAAGAATGTAAGGGTTTTTTTCTCTAGGGTGGATGCCCTTAGGAAGCAGGACTATGATTATTTTAATAAATCTCATCTTGAGGGTAGAAAAAACAGAGCAAGGTTAAAGGGAGGAGAGAAGGATGTTTGGTCATTTTTATACTGTGGACAATGCTTATGTTGCCTGTCCTCGGCCATGGCTATTGAGTGATCTTATCTTGACCAACATGGTCACAGAGTGGTCTTGTCTGATGCTGATGATCAGTGAACTAGTTAGTTCACAGTCAACAGAGCACCAAGGCCTTGCTGTGAGGGTGGGGATCCTGGATGCCAGGCTGCCATCTTCTTTCTCACTGTTACCCACTTAGTATCCATAAGACTCTGTGATAGTCCCTTAGCCATCTGAGAGCCAGTTTCCTTATCTGTCAAATGAAGCTAGAAATCCTCTCTGTGAGCTGTGCTGTGAGCATTAAAGGGGAAAATACACCGAGATTGCCTAGCACAGAGGAGGCAGTCTCTAAGAAAGACTAGGTTCCCATATTCTGGCCCGTGGCTTTATGCTTACTCTGCAGAAGATGCTAAGCCTAAAATCACCTGTCAGTGGCTTCTCCTTCACAGCATGTAACAGCCGCTACAACCGGGCTCTGTGATGAAACCTAATACTGTCTGTGGATCAGCCCAGGAAACTGGGCAGAAAGAATATGTGTTCATCTGAGGAATCTGGCTGCAGGCCCTGTGGAGAACAGAGACTTCCACATACTTGCAGAGCAGAGCACAAGTAT